TGAATAAATAAATAAAAAAAAATAAATAAAAAAAATTGTTTTAATGGGATTAAGAATAGTTAGGAAAATTTTAGTATTTTTAAGTGTGATTCAAAGTCTGTATCTATAAGCTACATCTACAATTGCACCCTCTTCAGAGCGCATGCGCAGATAATTAGACAGCTTTGTGTTTAGCTAACTCTGAAAATGGAGTTTTTTTTTTATTTTTGGATTTCTTAACAAAATATTTTGTGTGAAGACTGTTTTAAAATAGTTCTTACGAAAATAAAAAATACTTGGGGGAAATGTTTTTTAAAGAAATCCCATCATCCCAGCATTAGCTGCTAATTAGGCCTGTTATCTTCAGAGCGCATGCGCAGCTCATTACAGCTGAAGTACGAATTTGAAAATGCTGCGAGAAATACGACAGGTAGTTTAAATATGCGGAATTTAAACATAAGTAATTTACGTATGTAAACACTGTTGTAAACCCGTCCTTAAAATGTTTTTAAAACAAATGTTTTTTTTTAAGTTAACTTTCAAGACAACTATTAGCATTAGCTTATTGCTAACCTAGGAGTCTGTTCTTACCTTCAGGCGCTTCGGCTGATTATGCAAATGAGCAGTCAAAGAAAGCAACGTGGTTTGAAGACCACGGGGGGGCTTTTGGTGTTTCTGTGGACTGACAGGGGGTCCTTTGCTCAAAGGTTAAACTGCACTGGTAAGATATAAAAGTACAGCTCTTCTTATCGAGTTAGCTACTCAGATATGCTTTAATTGAACGCGTTAATAGAAACAAGAGATTTGCGTTTCTTTTATTGCATTGTAAACATTTTAAAATGTGATATTTTATTTTATTTCACTATTACTATGTTGTTTTGAGCGATGAATATCCAGTTTTTACACATCTTTTTAATCTGTTTATGAAGCAATTAAATGAAACTAGCTCAACATGTCAGACCTGCAGTTTTCACAGCAGTCTGGTTTTTCTGGGTCAGTTGCAGCAGCTGGGCCCTGGTGTGCTGGAGTTGAAATGCAAGCACTTCATCCTGGTATGTAAACACGCTATAATGCAGTTATTCACAGCTTTATTTGCAGGATAACCCCCCCCCCCCCCCCCCCCCCCCCCC